AAGAAAGAAAGAAAGAAAGAAAGAAAGAAAGAAAGAAAGAAAGAAAGAAAGAAAGAAAAGGGGGGAAGTGCCAGAAAGAGGCATAACCATTATAATGATGGGGGGAGGTTGAGAGTGGGCCCTGTGAATGACGGATCCCCTTGCCCCCTTCTTCCAGAGACTTTTGGAAAAAGGCTACATCTCAGACTTGGCTCAGATCCAGAAGAGGTAATTCCCTTTGCCCTGTTTGCTGGGCACAGGTAACCAAGCTGGTGCCCTCCTGATGATTTGATCATGCAACAATCAGTCACCTGTTGAATAATATCAGTTTTGCTCATTCCTGTAAATAGTTTGAAGACTTCATCCTGTGATTTGCTAGGAATGTCATTAGTTAAGGGAATGTACTCAGCCACCTTCCAGGGCTGAGTTTATGTTCCAAGACTGCTGGTTCCACCTCATGGAACTATGTTGCCAAATTTTGGTAGCAACCAGGACTCTCCCCTTCCAAAGTAAGAATTTTCCTAGCTTTTAAATATCCCTGTCACAAATATCCCCATATGGTCCCTGCTTGTTTCACCAAACCAGGAGTTCACGCTAAGTGCTCCTCAGCTGCCGCCAGTTGATTGCATCAACAATACCTATTACTAATAACTGAGGTCCAGGCCATATGTCATTTTAAAAGAAACAAATAAATTGTTTTTTGTTACAAATGTAGATACTTCAAGCAATGTTGTTAACTCTTAACAAACATCCTCCTTCATCCACTCTCAACCTCCACTTTCCCTCTCCAAAACCTTCTCTCAAAACTCCTTATCTCTCTATCTAACCCCCTCCTCCTGCTCAGTCTCTTATATTGTGTGACTCTACCCCTCCAGCACTCCCATTGGTCTATGCAGATATCCTATGAATATTCATGACCTGGGCAGACACCACAATCCCCATTGGCTGCCAACATTTGGCAGCATAAAAATGGGGAACCCCATTCAAAGCAAGCAAACCTGTGCTTCAAGAGGCTTGTAACTACTGGATAGCTCAGTGGTTTAGAGTGGGGAGTTCAATTCCCCATTGTGTCTTCTTGGCAGGGTCTGGACTCAATGATCTATTGCATCCCTTGCAGCTCTGACGTTCTAAGACTATCAACTTATTATTGTTGTATTAAGGGCTGTATTCAACCTAAATAGGGCCCAACAAGGGGGATATGTCCAGAATTCGCATTGCACAGCCACTTCCAAATCACACACTAAGAGGTTCATGTGCCCTGGGGATATTCCACAGCTGCACTGAGGCTCAAACTATCCATGATTTCCAGACAACATCTGGACCTGGTGGCTGCCAGGTCAGGTCCATCTCGATGGGAGCTTGGAATCTGATCTGACATCCTGCTGGAGACAATATTGTCCAAATAACTGCATGCCATCAAGTCAATCCTGACTTACAGCAATGCTTCTCATAGGTTTCCTGGGTATAAAGTAGTCAGATATGATTTCCTATTCCCATCTGGGGGTGCCCTGGGACTGTGCAGTTTGTCCAAGGCCACACAGGCTGGCTGTTCTCCCAGGAAGCCCAGTGGAGAAACAAAATCCCAACCCTTCAGCCGGGTAATCTGACTCACTGAAGCACCTGAGAAAAGATCTCTCATGGAAATTGAAACTATTTTGCAAATCTAGATTGCAGACATCATCCTTTAAGCATGTTGCCCTTCTGCAAACTTCTTCAAACACCGCCCGGCCACATTTCCCTCCTTTCCCACACCTTTGCTGTTCCTGTAGACTCTCTCCAGAAGATACATGACGCACATAATGGAGATCCCTTTATGCTGATTTTGCATCCAAACATTGAATGCTATCCCCCCCCCTCTCTTTGCCTAGTGTTCCCGTGCGGTCCCAACACCAGAGAGTGGGAATACTTTAATGGAAAATGTTACTTCTTCTCCCTGGAAAAGACTTCTTGGACAGAGGCCAGGCTTCAGTGTGAGAGGAGGGCTGCTCAGCTCGTCATGATTGAGACCATGGCTGAACAGGTGAAGAATTAAGCAGAGCCTGCTGTTTGGGGAGCAGCTGTGTCACAAGCCTGACAGAGTGGGATGTGCATGAAAGAGGCCACAGGTGGTGAGGGCTGTTCATGTCCATGCTTCCTCTCAGCAAATCCTATGCCTCACGGGCTAGGAGCACAGATAAACACGGGGAGGTATGAGCATGTATAGTCTTGGAAGCTTATCCAGGGGTCTGAGATAAGAAAATGGCACACACACAATTGTGAAAGGCGTTTTTCCCATTAGTACCAGTGTTCACTGTGTTAACATGCCTTCTCAGACAGGTCTTGTATGGATATTGTTCTTCACAGCCTCTGTGAGTTAAAACAGACAAGATGGCAACTTGGCAATTAGAAGTGGTTAAAGGTAGAAGTGTCAGAGTTAAAGGATGCTTGTTTCCCCACAAACTAGTTCACAAGGTGGGAATCAACTTCCTTTTCCTCAGTGGCTGGACATCAGGAGATAAACAGTGGAGTAATGTGCAAGCTTTGAAACACTGTGTCTTGCAAGGATATGGTTTTGACACCTCCTAATTGTAAAGCTGCCATGTTGTCTGCTTCTGGCCTTTGCTTACAACTGGAGTTCAGTTCTGTTGTGGTTTGCCAATGCATTCAGCTTGAGATAATGCCTTGCCTAACCCTTGGCCACCACTGGATCGATGGCCATCATTGTCCCTCTGCCTGCTCCCCGTGTTACTGAAGTCAAGACCCATAAACTCAAAGCCAGACAAATTATTTTGGCAAATCATCCCACTAGCACTTCTCCAGATTTCTGGTGGTTAAAAGAAAATGCAACAAAGAAAACAACTCTCAGTTTTGCTGCTCTTTCACAACATCCAAGATCGGTTTCTTGAGATGGCCAGTCCACTCTGCCCAATGATCAGACTGGCCCTCCCTATGACAAGCAGCTTCAGAGAAATATGGGGCATGTTCCAGGACACGCATGTGCTTGAAGCAGAAAATAATGGTGAGATCCACTGGGTTCATAGGAACCCTAGATCCTGCTAGCAGATGGGCAGAAATTGTTCAGTACATGAATCAAAACGGAAAGGATTTGATGAAGGCATAAAAATTGTTAGTGACATTATACAATACAAGTGGGTCCTGCAATAAAATGTTGAAGTATGGAATGCTCTGGGTCAGGATTCTACTGAGCCAGCCGTGTCTGCTTTTGAGGTTACTCTGTTTCATTCCTCCACCAATAATCAGTCCCTCAACCCCAACAATCAACTTCCATTCTATGACCATTGAACATGCTGTACTTACTGGATTTGCTCCCACATTAGGATGAGCTTTTTCTTTGCTTCTGCAAGCAGGACTGTGTCTTCCCCAAACCTATGGTTACCTCTTTCTTGTCCATGCTGCCATTTTGGCTGCACTCTTGCCATGTTCTCTCAGCCATATTTTCCTCTCTCTCTCTCATGCATGGACAGAATTTCCTTCAGACTTATACGAAGAATGACCGATACTGGATAGGACTCACAGACATGAGCATGGAAGGACACTGGGAATGGCTGGATGGCAGAAATGGAATAACTGGCTTCACGTAAGTATTCATTTAGCCATGTGTCCTTCCCCAGCCACATCACATACTTTCGAAGCAAAAAAGGAGGAGGATAATAGCTGAAATCCAGTAGTATCACAACTAGAGGAGACATAGACCTTACAGAGGAGTTGACTCACTAAATCACCACTGATTAAATGGTCCTACTCTGATTGTGACTTACTACTAGGTTTCAGCCACTGTCTCCTTACTGAAATTCTTGTAGACTATGAATGGCAATTCCCAAACTCTCAAATGTTCAATGTCATTATGAGGCCAGAATCTCCCTGGCCCACTCTGTGCCCATAACCATCCATTGCCCCACTCATGGGCTTCTGGGCTTTTTATGCCCATGTGAAGAAGGGATCTAGTGCCTTCTAGCACAAAGTAACCCCATTAATTGCAATGGGGGTAATCTCTGCCTTGAGTAATAGTGAGCTGATGACCTCCCAGATTGATGCCTCATTAGACTGCTACATACGTACACTTCCTGGTGGCAAACAGGACACTGCCGTGTGTGTGTGTCCCAAGCAGACAGTGGCAGATGGTGCCCACTTGGACAAAGGGAGGGTCACCAGAGGCTGATCCATGAGGCCACCAGACATTACTATTCTATGTATCTACACAAAGTGATCATCACACAAGTTCTCCTAGCCATTGTTTCCCCAAGAATGGTACACCAAAGAGTTTGATCTGCAGGTTACTTTAGTCTGCTTTTGGATACTGAACTTGGATGCTCAGTTTTTCTTTTTTTTCACCCTGCCACCAGATCAGCCATTGGTCTGCCAACCCAGATAAGAACCACAGGATTCTTATTCATTCTCCCTACCCTGTGCATGTCCAGCTGAAAACTAGGAATCTGACGTCCAAGAGATGATGCTCTTTGCCAAAACAACACATGCTGTCCTGATAAAACAAAGGGTGCTCACAGCTGCTCAGGCAGGGAGGGAGAAAAGATGGGGATTTGTATCAGGACCATCACACTTGCCTGCATATTGGGTTTGGTTTATATTCCTGTTGAGAACAGTGGCTGTGCAGCTGCCTTTTTCTCCATGAAAAAGATGCTGGCAGGCAGATTTGTCACATTTTGAATATATTGGATTTTTTAAAAAAAGAATAGATGAGTATTTTCCTTTACTCACAGGTATTGGAAGCAAGGGGAGCCCAACGACGATTATCGGGGCGAGGACTGTGCACATCTCTGGGTCTATGGGGAATGGAATGATGTCTACTGCACGTACCCCTGCTTTTACGTCTGTGAGAAACCCTTGCGGGACACAAGACCACAGCACCAAGGATGAACCTGAGCATCTCTTGTGAGAATCCTCCCTCCAGGCCCATGGAAATTGTCCCGTACTGGAAACCTTCCCCTAACGTGTCCCCACAAGAAGAGGAATGAATGTCTCATTCCAAAGTTAGCAGTATACCGTTGAAAGAAGCACACCAATCATTCACGTGGAAGGGCTTCAATTTAAAAGGATGAAATGATGAGACGGAGTGTGAATGTTGTTAGTAGCGACTGCAACCGATATCTTGTGGATCTGCAGATTCAACAGCTGTATCAAATGCTTTCAGTTTGATGTGTGCCTTGGTTTTTGGGCGTATGAATAAAAATGGTGCTTTTCTTTTTAGTATTTCAGTTGTACCTTTTAGGAGGTTCTAAAGTGCTTCCATACACACCCTTAGAAGAGGTCCACTCCCTTCAAGAGGAGAAGTGCCATACAAGTTAACAAAGTGACATATCGCTAGAAGTATTCCACTATCTTAGGGAAGGAGGTGAGTATGTGAGGTCTCCACACTTGCAACAGCTTATTGGATAGATTTGTATATTTAGGTTCTGTGGTGTGGGAAATTGAAGTTACTTCTCAAATATCCCAATTGAAACATTGCTTTGAAATCTGAGGTCTTTATTTACTTGCTGAAGAGGTACACAATCTTCTTCCCTATCTCTTTGTCCTAGCTCTGTGTCAGTAGCTCTTCGTAGGATGATTTCTCTTGCATTTAGATGAGGTTAATTTTGGCGGTTTTATTTTTAAAGTGTGCATTTCTGCTTTATGTTTCCAAAGCCAAAGATATTTGTTGGCTTGTTGGGAGGATTACAGCCCACTGTCTCATGAAGTTCTCAGCAGGGCTAACGTAAAGCAATTGCAATTAAAACACCATGGTGCTCGCTTGTGAAGAACAATTTCTCCTGCCATTTAAAACGTTGCAGAGCAAAATTAGCCCCTGAGGCAGGGGTGATTAAACAACACCCAGAAGTCCTTTGGTTCTAACTTCCATCAGCTCCAGCTAGGATTGGCTTAGGCAGAGATGATGGGAGTTGTTGTCCAAATATATTTGAAGAGCAGCAGTTTGCCACCTCTGCTCTAAGCAGTCACAACAGCTATGCTTATGGCTGCATAAACAGTAGGGGGTGCTTATACAATCCATCCATGGGAAGAAAAAGTAAAGAAGCAGGACCTTCTTACACAAGCCCCCATTTTCACTGAAGGTTTTCTGTGCTGTGATGGCCGCATAAGGTCACAGAAGCCTATAGTTGGGTTCCTATTTCTGCTGAATCTGTAAGATTCACTTCCTCCCTATAATATTTTCATCCTTTTCCATGACTAAGCAATTTGTATAATGCACTGTCAGTTGAAAAACAAGCATTAGTACTGTGTTTAGAATCTATCACTCACTTCATGGTCATTGCCTGTGGAAGATCTGATGTTATCGCTATTTTACTTTGTTCTCTACACTTTAGAATGTATCCCTTCCAGGAGATAATTGACATGTGCCATTTGTAAAATTACAGGTCAACTTCAGACTTCTCAAATCCTCTGCATTTTTATCCACTAGAATCTCATGATTCACGATCCAGAGTCAGATCCAAGTGGTATACAATAAACCATTTCCCCCTCTGCCACTATATCCCCCTGATATAGTGGGGGATGAAAATGGTTTCTGAATCTGACTTGTTTCTGCTGCCACCAGTTCTTTCAATCTCCCTGAGAGTCTGATACTCTAAACCAGTGGTTCTCCACCTTGGATAACCCAATTGTTCTTGAACTGCAGTTCCCAGAAGCCTTCGCCACCAGCTGTGCTGGCCAGGATTTCTGGGAGCTGCAGTCCAAGAACACCTAGGTTACCCAAGGTAGGGAACCCCTGGCTCTAAACTGAGGTGTGAGATGCACCACAGGCACCTGAGGCAGACCAACCTCTTCCCCACTCATCCTGAAATGGACACATATGCACAGTCACTTGAATTTGGCTTTTCTGTATCTGTTTTTTTTTTCTTTTCCTTGCTATGAATTCATTCTCTCTCATCCTGGGGTTGTTGTAAATGCAGGCTCTATTTTAAATTTATTTTTTTTTTCAATTGTTGTTGTTGTTGTTCTTGTTCTTTTGTTCTTGCTGTTACATCATCCTAAGTATGACGATGATGGCTGTGCCACTGGCAAATAACAATTGTCCCCAAACACCTCCACAAAGTCTGGGCTTCCTGTTTAAACTTGTAAACATGGATTCCTTCTCTTGGATTACCCCAGCACCAATCTTGGCAAACGCTCTGTGTCCTCTTTAACGCTGCTGCTTTAACTCTGTTACAGCAAAGGGCTGACCTCTCATACCCTTTTTAAAAGTGACAATGTTCTTGGTGACACTACATAAACTATGACTCATAGCACCGACCCGCGGCATATGAGGGATGTAATATCTTAGGACTGTTATCTGTAAAACAATAAAATAATAGGCAAAGCTATAAGGCAAAGAGTTTCTTTTCAAAATATAAAGGGATAAGACAATTCAGTGAATTAGTAAAAGCAAAATATAAGAACAATGTTTCAAGTAATCACATTCATAAGTGTATAATAATAATCCTTCACTTTTCTTCTCTACAGTTTAAATAATATTTAAATAATTTCTGTCCCAGACAGACAGATAGATGCTTTGACACATGTACTAATAAGACCACACATTTATTCAGAACCTCTTCTCAAAAACCCATTCTCATTCTTCCAAACTCTGATAGCACGAACTCACAGTTCTTACTGACTTTAACTAAACATCTTATTGTACCATTAAATACCTCAGGATTTGCTCCACTTATAAAAACAGTGAATTCAAAGTATTTTTGCTGCCCTCATGGCACAAATGCAGTTCCTGCTCGCAAAACAGATTTCTCTCTCTCTCTCTCCCTATTCAGGGGGTTCTATTTTTTTCTTGCCAGAAGGAAAGACAAGGAGTGCAAAAGAGGGGGTGCAATGAAAAAGAGCAGGGAGTGTGGTGGGCTGGCAGCTGTATGTAGGGGAAATAAGGAGCTAAAAGAGGGGGAGAAAACAAGCCACCACAGCATTTGGTGTCTTCGTCACCTGTATCACATGTGGAGGGGCTGCAGGAAGGCAACCAACCAATCTCGTGCTTGCCAGCACGCACATGTGCATGTGTGGATATCCATGCACATTTGTGTTTCTGTCTGAGGGACTGTGTGTGAAACTGAGCAGAGTGGACTTTCTTAAGCACAGTAAGTGGACTGGCAGGAGGAAGAGGAGGGAGAGACAAGGACGTGAGGCTGGTACAAAGGGGGAGGGAGTGCAAGATATGGAGACCAACTGAGGTTGGAGGGAGGAGAGACAGAAAGAGAGAAGGAGGGGCGAGTTTGCCCCATGTGAAGAACAACAGACTCTCCTAAAGGGTAGAAGGGTGAAAAGTGCTTAGGAGTGGCCATTTGTTGAATTGCTGGTGTGGAAGATGAACTCCTGATTCAATCCACAGGCCCAGTGTGAGCACTGATTATGTTTTCAGAAGCAAATTGAAGCAAAATGTAGCTGCACCCTAACTCTCATTACTTTGTATGCAAAACAGAACCTCTCCTACCCGGAACCATACAGAGCAGTCATTCTCTCTCTCTCTCTCTCTCTTTCTCTTAAGATCCTCGCACAGAAAATGTGTCATAGGATGAGAGTAATTTTTATACCTTCCAAACACAGTTATGAAAAATTGTGTTTTCTTGGAAGTTTACATTCAAAATGTTCTTGTTCTAGACTTACTCAGCAATTTACACAATTGTTCTAAATAATCTGTGATGCAACAATTATAGTAAGGAAGTGAATACAAAGTCATAATTTACCCTGCAGAGAAATTCAGAGGAACATTTATACCATAGATTTGATAGTGCTATGTGTTTACATAGTTAAGGGGATCTTCAGTATACCAACAGCTGACTTGATCATTCAGTGGGTTCGAGTCCCTCACCAACAATTTGGAGTTCAGTTCTCTGCTGTGCATTCTAGGATAACACGTCTGGGGCCTTGCTCAGGCAGCATGGGTCCAATTGCTACCAGAAGGAGAGATTAGTAAACTACTTAAGAAGTACATTACACTTAGAAAACCCTGGGAAGGGTTGCCTTAAATCAGAGTTGACTTGATTACACATTGATATTATTAAATATTCTGACACAAAACAAAAAGTGTGTTTGTGGGAGATGTATTTTTCCTACTGAAACCCACCTAGCTAGTCACTTATTTTTCTTTAAGAAAAGGCTGTCACAAGGAAGATGGATCAGGACTGGCTGCCACTCACAGGCCCTGGTGATGTGCTGATGTAGTGACAAAAAATGAGCTCTTGATGAAGAATTGCTTCACAAAAGAGGAGGACAGAGGGCCACTGTTTTTTCCTTCATCTTTTCCTTCTTCCTCTTCCTCTCCATAGTCATTCACCCTGTGTGTCCTGTTTCCTTTTCTTAGCTCTCCTCCAACTTTCTTCCTGTCTTAATCAACCTAACTTAACACTCTGGGTTTGATATGGCATCTTCAATAGAACCAAGAAAGCTTTCCTTCAGACATCACCCAGATGTACAAATGGCTTAGGAACAAAAGAAGCCTTTTAATTTAGGGCTGGAGAACCTATGCAGCTGCAGAGTTTGTTCAATTCCAATTCCAATCAGCCTTGACCAGCCAAGCCAGTGGTGAAGTGTGATGGGAGAAGCAGCTGATCAGTATGGATGAGCTGTTTCCACCCCTGCCTTAAATCCACCCTTAAAACACTGGAGGGTTGTAGCCTGGAGACTGGGAGGGAGAAATATAAAGTCCTGATTTAGTGATCTAATAAAAGTAGGTTTGAGACACAGTTATGAGAGGGAAAAAAACCCACTATGTTTTCTTTCTTGCACTCAAAATGTATTTATTTCAGAATGAGTCAGCAATCTGCATAAATGTCCTGTTCCAAAGAACTCGAGTTTAAACAAAAAGGAAGTGAAATCAAAAATTGTGACAAGTCAATGTGTTTTCCTTAGTTTATTTCTGAGATCTTGCTGTTCTCATTAAGGGTGTTCCTGAACGGACAGCTCCATGCCTTCTCCAGCTGTCACTTTGCAGTTGTAAACGAATGGGGTTTTACTCTAGAAATTCTGTGCTGCTATGATTCATTAAATGTTTTCTGCTTCACTGGCACCTTGCTCTGTGTGAACTTCATGGTTCCTTTCCCTTGTCAGGCTCCTTTCCCTCCCATCTTCCCTGGGTACTACCCCCCCCTCAGGTATCTCCCAAGGCCTTCCTCTGAGCATGTGTTTTGTTGCTCCCTCTGCTACTGTGAGAATTTCCCTTGCCAAACCCAAGGAGCCCTGTCTACCTTGAGAAAAACCTGAACTAGGCCATTTGCAGCCCTGACAAGCTGTTTCTACCATCCATTTGCCCTTTGGCTATCCCTACTCACTGTTTTCCCATGCTATCAAGTTGGAACCAAGTGATAGCAACCGTGATAGGGCTTTCAAGGTAAGTGAGTTATTTAAGGAATGTTTTTTCCAGTTCCACTCCCCCTGGGAGTTTCCCTGGCTGAGCAATTATAGGCCCATCGCCAATGTTTCTTTCCTCAGCAAGGTAGTTGAGAGGATGGCGGCCGACCAGCTGCAGGCTCTTCTGGATGAAACCAATGCCCTGGATCCATTCCAGTCGGGCTTCAGGCCATGCCACAGCACGGAAATGGCATTGGTTGCCCTGTTTGATGACCTATTGAGGGAGGCCAACTGAGGCAAAATGTCTCTAGTCCCCCTCGATATCTCAGCCACCTTTGATACCGTTGACCGCCGTATTCTCCTGGGGAGGCTCTCTGAGTTGGGAATTGGTGGCCTGGTTCTTGGCTGGCTCCCTTCCTTCTTGGAGGGCCATCCCCAGAGAGTGCAGATTGGAGAGAGTTTCTTGGCCCCATGGAGGCTCAATTATGGGGTTCTGCAGGGCTCGGTTATCTCTCTAATGCTATTTAACATTTATATGAGGCCGCTGGGAGGGGTCATTAGGGGATGTGGGGCTTCATGTCGTCAGTACGCTGGTGATACTCAGCTCTACATCTCCTTTTTTCCAACAACAGTGGATGCTGTTCCGTCCCTTCAGCCTGGGGGCTGTTCAGCAATGGATGTAGGTGAATGGACTGAGGCTGAATCCGGGCAAGACAGAGGTTCATTGGGTGGGTGGCCCAGACATCAGTGGTCACCCCACCTCTCTTTTGGGGGTGTGTGACTCTTAACACTAAGACTGAGGTTCACAGTTTGGGTGTACATCTGGACCCAGTGCTCACAATGGAATGCCAGGAGGTGATCTGTTCCATGCCCTTCCATTTTCAGCAAATTGCCCAGCTGCATCACTATCTTGATGTAGGGGCTCTCACCACCTTGGTCCATACTCTCGTCGTCTCGAGATTAGACTACTGTAATGCACTCTCTATGGGGCTTCCTTTGAGACTGACGTGGAAACTTCAAATGGTGCAGAATATGGCAGCCAGACTTCTTACAGGGGTGAAAAGGTACCAGCATGTTTCCCCTCTCTGGCTGCCCTGCATAGGCTGCCCATTCATTTCTGCATCGATTTCAAAGTCCTAATGGTGACATATAAAGCCCTAAATGGTTTAGGACCTTGATATCTGGCAGAGCGCCTCCTCCCACCTAGTTCTGCCAGAGTTACTCGTTCTAGCCAGGCCGGGGGGCTAAGGGACCTAACGCCAAGGGAAGTCCGGAAGGAAAGAAAGAGGAACCAGTCCTTCTTGGCAGTGGCCCTCACCTCTGGAACAACTTGCCTGTTGAGATCTGCCTGGCTCCCTCTCTGGGTGTTTTCAGGAGTAAATTCAAGACCTGGCCATTTAGGCAGGCTTTCCCTCCTGCCATATCTTTGGTCTAGATGGATGGGGGTGTGTGTGAGTGTGTGTGTGTGTGTGTGTGTGTGTGTGTCTGTGTGTGTGTGTGTGTG